GGGGCATGTTGAAGAAGGTTAAAGCCAAGCAAGTCCTTGCCAAAGTTATCACATGGTACAGCCAGCTGTCAAAGGTGGATCCCTTTAGCAGGTAAGGGACAGGGCAAGAAAAGAGATCATTCACTTCCTTGCCCCCCAGGGGTGATAAGTCATGGCAGGAAGTGAGCAGGGTGCTGAGCTCCAAACAGGCCTGGCCTTTATCTCAGCAATTCTGGTTCTGTTGTGGTTTAGCTTGGTTTTTGGTTTTTTTAAGACAAGGTGTCACCGCGTAGCCCAGGCTGGCCTTGAACTCATGGCCATCCTCCTGCCTCACTCCTGCCTTCTGGAATTTCAGGCATGCACCCCCATGCCTGGATTATCTCAGCAGTTCTTACAAGACAGTGGTCATGCTGGGTGTGGTGGCACGTGCCTGTCATCCCAGTACTCAGGAGACTGAGGCAAGAGGATCGTTGCAAGTTCAAAACCAGCCTGGGCTACAAAGTGAGCATAAGGCCAGCCTGAGCTGCACAGTTGTCCCTTCATATCAAGGGCATAGGTTCCAGGGCAGCAAAATCAGAGGCTGCGGAAGGCCTTTACATAAAATGAGTCGCATTTGCACGGGACCCATATGCTTCTTGTACTCTTTGAGTACTTCTCTACTTACTCCTTGCACCCAGAGAGACAAGGCAAAGGGTGTCCGCGTTGTCGCAGTAGTGCAGGGTCTAGGGATGGTGACAAGAAGTCTGAAGGAGTAGAGTGCAGATGCCTTGTCAGAGGCCTGACCCGGCTTCTGGTGGTGTGCAGACCCAGCCCCTGTGGGCAGAAGCCTAGTGACAGCGCACACCGAGGGCCTGCGCCACAGCCGTGTCAGATGTGCCGAGCTCTCTCTCTGCGCGCTCTTCCAGCCGTTCCCATGTGTGGTAACTCGCAAGTGTGCCATTCATCCTGGGAAACAGGCACTGCTGTTATCCTGTCTCACCAGTAGGGAAACTGAGGCATGAAAGGCTTGTCACTCACATGGGGCTGCGTGTAGAGTAAGGGAGAATAAGCCCAAGAAGGCGGCACCAGGCTTTGGCAGCGTGCCCCGTGTCCCTGTCACAACTCGCTGTGCCCAGCACTTGGGGGTAACCTCCGCCACAGTGGGAAGCAGGCAGTGACTGAACCTTGCAGGACCTGGGAAAGGGTTTTTTTTTTTTTAAATCAGATTACACCAATATAAACAAATGATGAGAAATGATATGAATTTCTGCTTAGTGGCCTAAAAACACAAATCATTGCATGAAAAACAGAAGTTACCAAAAAAAAGTGGGTGGGGGGCTGGGGAGATGGCTCAGTAGAATAAGTGCTCCCTGGCAAGGGCCTGAGTTCAATCCCCAGTTCCGCAAAAAAAAAAAAAAAAAAGAAAGAAAAAAGAAAAAGAAAAGGTTACAGAGCATTTTATATAATATCCTGATTTCATACTATTGAAGCCGTAGAACAGAGATAATCCTTAGTACATTCTTCCACGATGCTCTTTCCTAGAAGGTAGCACATGAAAATGTACTGGTGGTTGTTTCATGATATTGGGGTTCCCAGGAACTCTGAACAAGGAGCTTTATTCTGGAAAAGGGCGTGGAGCACAGTGACTCGCAGTGTCAGGACCAAGCTGGCTGCCGCGCTCCCCAGTCTTCTCCAGCCTCAGTTATTTTGAAGGAAACTGCACGTCTCTTCACTTTTTCTGTGCTGCTCTTAATCTGCAGCTTGGTTTCCACAACGAAGATTACATTGCCACGTCGGTGATGCAGTTATCCCATGAACTGTTTGATATTTCCTAATATCCAGCCGGTGGTCAGAGGCCCACATTGCATATAATTGTCATAAAATGGTTTGTTTGAATTGTACCGGTTGTTTGAGTCACAGTGTAAGTGAGCTCCAGATGCTGATTAGTTGTGTCTTTTTAGCCCCTTTTTCGGCAGGTCTCGCTGTGTCGTTCAGGCTGGCCTCGGACTCGAGGTGGCCCTCCTGCCTCGCCTCCCAGGCGCCTTGTCCTGGACCTTTGCAGTTAACAGGTCGCACCTGCTCGCCAGCCAGCCTGCCGCAGCCTGCTCTCCCGTCCTGTCTCTGGCCTTGGCTGTCTCCTTGCCAGTCCCCGGTCACAGCCGCCTGGAGCCTCCCACCGCTTCTTCTGCCTGTCTCTGCCTCCTGCTTCCCCTGCTCTCTCCCTGGGTCCTCCGTAGCACGGCGTCTCTCCTTGTCTCCAGCCTGTTTGGCGCAGCCGTGCAGCCTCCTGGCAATTCCCTGTGGTCTTCATGGGGCTGACCCTCAGACCTACATGCTCCGCCTCCTTCAGGGCCATCAGCTCTCTCTGTCGTCCTCCTGGGTGAGGAGGGAAAGGTGCGGAGGCCTTAGGAACTGCCCCAAGTCCACGGAGCTGGACCTCCGAGGCCCCACCTCAGAACTCTCTGTGAAGGAGCAAAGTGCCATCTTCAGGGAACCACACTAATTCCATCTTTGAGAAATACAGTGACCTTTGCCTTTCTGTGGTTCCCATTGTTCACTGTCCACTCCTGTCTAAAAATACCAAATGGAGAGGAGAAAGAGAAGCATTTCAGGTATCTGACTGTTGGTACAGATTACGGTTGTAATTGTTATTATTATTAATCTTTCTGTGCCTCATTAATAAATTAAACATTGTTACAGGTGTGTATGCGTAGGATAAAGTGGGTGCCTGTGGTGGTTGGCACCAGCCACAGCTCCTAGCACCCACTGTGGACAAGGCGTGGCTGTATTCTATTCTCATAGATGTGATTTTGATTATTCTGAAGAGAAAAGAACCTGGCACCTAGAAGCCAGGCTCAGTGTGGATTGGAGAACGTGGGAACTGCTTAGGACACGAGAGAAGCGATCGTTCTGGAGACACTGCGCATCTGGAATATCTCAAGTGAGGGGCGTGAAGAGCTGGAGGGCACGAGGTCCCCCACGGGCCTGTCAGCTGTGTGTGCTGAAATAGCTTACGTCTTCTTGCTATATTTTGAGGTATTTTCAATAAGAAAAAACATGAAAAGACTTGAGATGTGAAGTAAGTCATTTAAAGGCAACTGAGAGGCCAGAGCTGCTTAAAATTCACGTGAGAACAGCACAAGGTTGACGCTAGTATGGGACACTGATTTGTTATTGTCACAAAAGCTAAACTTTCAACGCTTTCCACTGATCAGCAAACAGGGCTTGTCTTTCACGCTAACAAGGGCAACAGCCTGTGCCAATCTGAATTATAATCGTGTCTGACGGTCTTTCAGCTGCAAAGACTGGAACTCCTGCTGCAATGCCTCAGACACCATCCGAAGAAGTATGAATTTAAATAAGGGTGCAGTGTGACACCAAACATCCTCCAAAAACACAGAGCTTTCCTGGGGAGGAGATAGCACGCTGTTGGCAGCAACATGTCACTTGAATAAACCTTTGAAAAGGTCTGGTAGTCGTTGGGAATTTTCTTCCCTTCCTGTCACTTGAGGCTAAAAAGGAGAGGAGGTATTTTGTTTGCATCCTTTAAGCTGTGGCTGATAAAACGCAGCAGGCCCACAGGAGGGAAAGCCTCCTTATTGTACCTTTCCTTTCCTGGGTGAGCACAAAGTGTTTCCAGAATGGCCTGCAAAGCGGGGTAGAGCTGCGTTGGCTGTTAGGGGATGGCAGAAACGACAGCTGCAGAAATTATGACAGAGCTCTCCTGTGCTCCGTAGGTAATCTGATGACAGTCTCAAACGTCAGTGGCCTTACTCGTCATGCTCGAGCTTTGGATCCAGCTGTGCAGTGCCTGAGCACCTGTGGGCAAGGCTCTTGGTGTCCCCTGGACAGAGCCACCTCTGCCTGGGCACTGTGGATCGCACAGGGGTCCTTGCGTAGCACCTTTTGGCACTAGAGACACTGGTTTGGGAACCAATTTCTGTTCCCCTTATACATCCTGGTCACGTAGGACATGAAGTGTTGCCTTACCGGTCCTTTGAAGCCCTTGCTTTAGAGCTAGTGTTTCATGCCATCTCCAGGGGTGATAGAAAAATTGGAGAGAGCGCAGGTATGACTGAGCGGAGAGCACAGGCTCCACGACCTATCAGAATGTCGAGGTGTGGTCATGATCAGGGCCACCTGTCCCAGTTACTGTTGACACAACTGTCAGCAAATAACGCATATTCTCTGAATCACGGTAAAACTATGATGTTAACGCGGCACACCAAGGCACAGCATTAGTTGGGGACGGGCTCTGGGGAAATCTCTGAAGACTGTGAGGTTGTATAAGGTTGTTATTGCCAGATTCCAGCACCCCAAAATAAGCTCACTGAGAAGAACTTCGCCCATCTTGAGAACACAATTCAGGGGTCTTTGGTTTCTTCTCAGATACGTGTGACTGGCAGCCCAGCCCAGTGGAAAGAACTTCCATGGTCTAAAAAAACAGTCCACACCCCTCAGCTATCACTTCCCTGTTCCCTTTCCTTGCTTTTCCAATTTTACGTTGTTTTTATTTTCAAATTAAGTTAAGTAAAAATAAGATCACGTGGGAATGACAGTAAAACCCCCTTTTCTGTGAAGAGTGTCTCAGCAGGGCTTCCCAGTTGGTGGCTGCGTGTGTTGGCAGGAGGGGGTGGGGGGATAAGTGCTAATGCCCCGACTATGGAGAGCGAGTTCTGTTTGAGGAGGCAGAAGACACAGACGAGTCCTTCACGGCGCTGCTAAATTCAGGTCATCATGGCCTGACGGGTGGTGGAAGCTGGCTGGCAGGGGTGAGCTGAGGGGCAGGGGGTGGGCAGAGCATCGCCAGGTTCCGGAAGCAGCTGGTATCTCCTGAGGTTTCTAGACATGGGCTTGACTTCATATGGCAGAGCTGGAAGAGGAGGGAGGGAGGGAGCCAGGGTAAGAAAGAAGGAAGGGAAGGGAGAGGAGGCAGGCAGGCAGGCAGGCAGGCAGGCACCTGTGTCTTCTGTGGGACCCACTCATCAAGTGGCCAAGTGTTGAGGGGGAGGAGGACTCACCCTCACCCTTTTCTGTTGCAGGTCGCCAGATCCCGCCCTTGGACCCCCACGAGAAGGGCAACAATGGAGTGATCTGCATTCATGGTGGGAAGCCACCCTCGCAGGGCCGGCGGTGCTGCTGACCCAGTGCCCAGGGCACTGCCACCTCAGGAACTGTACCTACGCTCTGGGATTCAGGCACAGGCCTTGCTCCTGAGGCTGCAGGAAGTGGCAGGATGTGTCTCTTGACAGGGAGTGGGGAAAGCACAGCCGCAGTGTCCCTGTGGTGTGCCAACACCAGCCGAGTGCTGCTCACTGGTTAACAGGGGCAGGTGCCTTTTTTGCTAAAAGCGTTAGAACATTGTTGGATTTGTCCACAAGTCTTAAGTACTGTTCTCCTCTCAGGCCTGTGTCACACGGCCAGATTCCAGTAACTCCTCCCATTTTGTGCCTGCCTTACCTGACTGGCCTTCACCAAAAAGTGAATTTAATATAGAAAAGTAGATTTCCGCTGGTTTGGGAAATAAGCCTTTATTTATTGCGTTCTGAGAGGAGCCGGAGAAGCGTAACTGGACCACCATTCAAGATGAGTCTTGTACTGCTACGGAAGAGGAGGAAAAAATGTTTGAAGACTTATCCACATTCCTTTCAGTTTAATTGGTGATCATTTTAAGTTTTCATCGGATACAGGCAAACAGAGCCAGTCATACCATGACGCTGCATACGACTCTTGGATGGGGCGGCCAGCTTGAGCGCGCCAGCTAAATCAGCACTACGTAGGCAGGGTTACAGGGGCACATGAACTTCTCGAGGCTTGCCCTGCACACGCCGCTGCACGGCGACTTGCTGGTCTGAGGGGTGGCCAGTGCATGCAGTCGTATTTGCTGAGGATGTGCCGCGGTGTCATATCTGGGAAATTGGCTAGAGAGTGCTTCGAGTCTAAATTCTAATAATATAACAAAAACTAACTGTAGGTTACAGCAAAGCCAGACAGAGGAAGTGTTGCTGTGCTTGGGGACAGTCACATGGCCACACAAAGGGCCACCAGGGGGACCGGCCAGGGGCCTGAGGATAGACTCCGAGAGGGACCTTCTCATTCAGATTCCCCATCTGCTCAGCTGAAGATGTCCAAATCGCAAGGAAAGAAAGAGAGAGGAGCAGAAGTTTTTTGCACCAGAAATGCAAATGCTATTACCATTTTAGTGTTCAACAGGACTTGGGATGGAGGACCCGGGTGGGGCCGGCACAGGGCCTTGGAAGCAGGTCCTGGCACAGAGCGCCCACAAGCGCTGGCTGGAACCTTCTTCGCTGAGAGCCTCCCATGGCTGGTAACCGTAGTGACAGCCCGCCATGTGGCTACCAGAAAGGAGGCTGTGAGCTGGTTCGGGGCCTCGAGCTGTCTCGACGCAGCGCAGGCTGGTGTCATAGGAGCCTACGCATTGGTGCTGTCACAGGCAAGACAGGGTCAGGCAGCTGCAGGTCAGAAGGGAAACAGAGGGCCGGGGCCAGGCTTTTGGTTTCTCTACATGGATGGTACTGGGCGACACAGGGCCAGGTTCTCTCACACATTGTTTTTCACCCCAAGGATGTGCTGTCGAGTTGAGTTCTTACTGCTTTGCCCAGCTTTGTAGACGTGATCGACAGCCTTAGAATATGAAGGCCAGAAAAGTTTGGTTTCAAGGGGGTCACTTGAGGCCAGGGATATAGCTCAGCAACCCAAGCACCTGCCTGGCAAATTCTCAGTACTCCTTCCCCCCAGAAAAGGGTGGCACTTGGCTCCCGAGGTAGGTGGCCCAAAACCCACCAGCGAGTGGCACCGGCATGTCCTGGCAGGGCCTCCACAGGATTGGCAGAGTTCTTGTCCCTATCATCACCAATCCTGCCCGGTGTGCTTCTGTTGCAGGCCCAGAAACGATCGTACATCTCGCTAGAGGAGAGAAAGTGGAGCTCTGAGGCGCCCCCTGCAGTGGCGCCCGGCCTCTGTCGGCCTTTTCTTGTGCCGCTTCGCCTCGGCACCTGGGCTTCTCGCCAGCCGGCAGCTCAGGTTGCTCCGTAAGACAGGTCACACCCCAGCAGAGTGCCGCAGCTTGAAGTGTGTCGGTGTGGTTGTATTTGGCGTAACACGTCCAGCCTTAAGCCCATGTAGGCATCTGCCCCCTGATGAGACCCCGGCTGTATTTCAGAAGCGCACCAGGGGTGGGTCGTCCTCGTACTGTTCTGTGCTGCCTTAGCTACTGAAGCCAACCGACGGCAGACATGCGCATCACCGCGCAGAGCAACCGGCAAGGAAGGCAGGTGCGCCGTCTTCGTGTAGAGGTGGGTCTCCCCAAGGGCAGGCGCTTGGCCTTGTCCACGACGAGGCTCCCACCCTTTCTTATTTGAATTGCTTTCCGGCTGTCCTAACCACTGATGCACAGCCACACCACAGGGCGGAGTGCGTGGAAATGACCGTTGCTCCAGGGTGTCAAGCACTTCCAGGTCATGTGATGTCCTGGGCACCGTTTCCCGCTGCTTGCCTCTTCTCTCCTTTTTCTCTCCTGTGGGATGTGTGTACTCGTGGGAATAGGCTCTCTCCTGGTTGTGCTGACATGTAACCCATTTCAAGCTGGCTTGGCTCGGCTCATGGCCGTGCACTGTAGGAAAAGCGTGAGTTCTTGAAGGCACCGCTTCCAGTGGGCTTCTCTAGAACTGGGAGTGGGTCAGGCACATCTTTTACATATGGACAGTATCGGCTTATTGACTTGCTGTTTCATGGTTTGAAATGGCACATTAGGGTGCTGACTGTGCCTGTGCCTTGCAGACAAACAGGTTGAAGACCTAGAGCTAAGTTCTACCCTATAATGTGGGCTGGGCCCCTGTGGAGAACAGCGCCTTTAGTGAGGGAGCTTTGGATGACAGAATACAGCTTCTGTGGTTGAAGACCACGTAATGTGGCAGCTGAGCAGAGTGCCTTTGTGTGGGCTTCCCCCTCACGGGCTTTGACATGCCTGGCAGGGCGTGTGACGAGCAAGCCCTCCCAGGGGGCTCAGGCTGCGCCCAGCCCGCCCAGGTGTCTAGCTCGCCCTTCACTGTCATCCAGGGACGCAGCGCCAGCGCTGCGTACAGACTGCCACCTCGGCTGGTGTTCTGCAGGACGCTTCTATCTGGGCTGGACCCAGGGCTTGTATTTAGAAGACGCCACTGCAGACACCCAGGACCTCTGTACTTTGTATTCTATTCTGTAGTAGAACATTTCCTTCAGCAATGACCATTTGTATCTATTGTTTTTGTTTTAACGCACACTGATTCATACTAATAAATATTTTAAATTTTACCAAGTTTGTCTTTTCCTTATTATAATATTTGCAGAATAACTTGTTAGAACTTTCAGTCAATTTGGAGGAGTGGTGACTCTCCAGAGAAACCCATATACCTGGGCAAAGGAAGGTGTGTAAGATGCTCGCTGGTGCGCTGTTTGCAGGGCAAAAGTTGCTGGCAACTAAGGAAGTAAAGAAAGGAAGATGCAGCACAGTCGCACAGCGAGAGCTGTGGGGTCACCGGACTGGACACCTCAGCGATGTGCACCCTTGTCCCCCTCAGGAGCACAGTGTGGGGTGCAAAGCTGCTACCCATGCCCAGGAGAAGCGTGCTCATGGGAGCCTGTGTAGCTGCGTGAGGCAGCTTTCCTGCTTTTAGTACAAAATACCTGACACGTGCAGCGTAAAGGAGGAAAGGTGTTATCTGGCTTATGGTTTCCAGAGAGTTCCATCAGTGATCTACTGTCCATGAGGCAGACGCAGTAGGGCGAAGGGAATGCAGAGCAGAGGTGCTTAGTTCATGGTGGTGAGGAAGCAGTGTAGAGGAAGAGCACCAGAGAAGAGGGGGCCGGGGACCAGAAAAGGGCCCCAGAGCCACAGCTGTGTGATCCCCGATGTGTGCCTTCCTGTTCCCCAAGGCAGCCCCAGACGACGCTGACCATTGGGCACACTCCACCCCCTGTTGACTTGATATCCAAACACATCTTAATCTGTAATCAGTGTCCAAATAAAGATGGTAACCACGTAAGTGTGGTAGCGCATGCACGTAATCCCAGAACGCTGAGAGGCCGAATTGGGAAGATGACTGGTTTGCGCCCAGCCTGAGCCACTTAGTGACATCTTTTCTCCAGAAATAAGAAAGGATTGGCCCTGTGTTCCATCCCCAGCATGGGGAGGGTTCAAAATTCTACCTAACATGATACCACTATCATGAATCCGACCAAAAGTGCAATACTTCTTTCTCTCAAGCCTCAGCAGTTCCAGCATGGCTCAGAAGTCCAAGCGCAGGGCCAGGGATGTAGCTCAGTGGAGTAAGTGCTTACCTGGCAAACACAAGGCCCTGAGTTTGATCCTTGGTACCAAAAATAAAAAATTTAAAAAAGGTCCAAGCCCAAAATCTCCTCTAAGACTCAAGGAAGACTCTTAGCTATGAGTCCCTGTAACAGCCACAAGAAGTTAGTGTACATTATCCTGGGATCAGAGGCACAGAATAAACATTACCATTCCCAAAGGAGGCTAACAGAGGGATAGAAAAGAGTCAGACCAAAAAGAAAAGTGCACCCGAGAAGGGTTAAAGCCAGAAGCTCCGTATCTGGCACCTAGAGGACATGGTGGTAGGACAGGAGCCAGGAGGGCTTGCATGGCCCCTTCGCCTGCGTTGCAGCTGCTTGGCCTCTCGGGATGGGTGCTTCTGTTTGGCGCCTGTGGATGTCCTGCAGCCGCTGTCTCCTGGTCCTGGAGCCTCCAGCTTCCCGGGGCTGTAGCGGTCTCCGTTACGCCTTGGCTATGTTCCGCAGCTTCAGCCACCTCCTTTCCAGGGCGCGTCGCCTGCTCAGCAAGGTCTTCCCTCGAAGTCTTGTGGAAGCCTCTCTGGCGGCACACCTATTGCATTTATTTATGCAAATAAATTTTCTGTAAGAATGTAACTTGCACGGCTTCCAGTTCAATTCCCAAGACGGTTCGTGTTCCCAACTAAAACTTTCCCAAGCCGGGCCTTTATTGTCTGCATTTCTATTGGAACTCTGGTCTTCTGGGCTCTGGGGTGAGCGACCCGTCAGGATCTGCCTACAGCATTGCGGGGCTTCTCTAGCTCGTGTCCAAGCCTTGCTGGACTACAGCCTGCTCCAGAGGCTTCTGGGCCCCTCGGCAAGGTCCTGAGACGGCAGCGCCCCCTCTGGGCACCAGTGTCTGTGTTTGTTAGCTTCCCCATTGCTAGCATACAGGACCCCAAGCTGTAACTCAGGGTGGAGAGGCCTTTTTGGCTCATGGCTTTAGAAGATTCCGTTCACAAGCTGCTGGCCCCAAGGCAGGAGCATCATGGTAGATGAGTGGGGGAGCCGAGCTGCTGGGTTCACGGCAGCAGGGGACAGCTGACTTACTAGGTGAGAAGCCAGGAGGGATCTACCTTCACACATAGATTGAGAACATTATCGCGAGAGAGGGTCAGTGAGTGTAGGAGCAGACGACGCAACGCAGCTGGCCTTTGCCTGCTCACTTGGTCTTGTTTTCTTGCTCTTTTTTCCTGCCTCCTGCTATGAGACGAAGCAGCGAGAGGCCCACATTTCCAGCCCTGAGAACTGGGAGAAACAAAGTCTTTTCTTTGTAATTTACTTTGCTTTGTATTGTTATAGCAGTAGAATGTGAACCGAGATTTGTATCCCCCCCCCCCCCCCGCTCTCGCTCTCTTTTCTTTTTGGGTGATTTGTTATTGACTATGCCAAAGGTGGGATGGCCAAAGCACAGACTGAATAATGTCATTTCCTCAAAGCTTTCTTCTGCAAGTGAGGTAAAATGCACGCTGTTCCCTGCGGTGAGATGCCGGCCCGTCCCGCTGGGCACCGCTCCCCACCCCGCCCGCTCCTGCCCCTCTGCCGGGCTGCTTTCTTTCTTCCGAAACAGCACACAGCCTCTTTCCTCTCCCTGGCAGGGCGTGCCCTCTGAGAAGCTAGGAACAGTTCCCACAGGCTTTTCTGGCGCTTTTTCTGGGGAATGAGAGTCCACCCGTATAATCATCACAGAGTTGGGGCCAGCAGGTTAGTTTCTGAGTTAAGGTTGAGCAGTATTCATCAAAAACTATGTGCTTTTCCCTGAATATAATGAATGAAGAAATGTCCGTAATCTATAGTCAGAGTTGTGAATTGCCAGATTAATCAGCTATGTAGTGGATTTACTAATGGTCAACTTGTAACACCAAGATGAATTGAATCAAGGAGATGCTGGGTGTGGAAAGCCCACCTGAGGATGGTAGCTAGCAACACTGAAAGAGAACTGGACAGCCAGTTGTGGTGATACATGCTTGTTCTCCCAGCACTTGGAAGGCTGAGTCAGGAGGATTTCTACAAGTCTGAGGCCAGCCTGGGCTGCAAAGTGAGTGCTAGTTCAACCTGACCCACATAGTGAAACACTGCCTCAAAATGACCCTAGAGGGGAAGATGGAGCGCTATTGGTTCTCCGGAAGAACTTTGTCATGCTGGTTTTCCTGGTATGAACTCAGCTGTTCTCACTGTCGGAGGAGCTCAGGTCATGCGTCACTGAGGACGGCTGCAGCTCTCTTCGGGGGAGCCCTGGTCCTTACCTTGAGTGTCACCTCCTGGCTCTGTGCAGATCCCTCAGCCTGCTGGCACAGACCCTTCATGCTGCTGGTGCCGACTTGCTAGCTCCACCAGTGACCTTGGGGCTTCCCAGTGCTGATGCTTGTCAGACTCGCATGAGACATTGCCGTGGGCTCCAGGCCCCCAGCTGGACCGAGCCACATGGCCAGGTGGTCACAGCAGTGACCCCATTTGCTGGTACCAAGGTCTGTCTTAGCTTTATCATTGCTGAGACAAAATGCTCAGCATCCACAAGTTTAAAAGAGCAAGGTTTATTTTAGCTCACAGTCTGTAGAGGTTTCAGTCCAAAGTCAGCCGGACACAAGGCAGGGTGACACAGCAGAGGGAAGGCAGAGGGGAAACAGCTCTGCGGAGCAGAGCTGCCTGCCTTCTGTCCCTCTGCATTCCATCCAGGTTATAAGCCTGCTGGTTGGCGCCACCCACGCCCAAGGCATAAATCCATTTGGTCGCACTGAGAACTGTGCTAATCCAACTAGGACCCTAGTCCAGTACCACACACCCTTAATCCAGGTTCACAGACCCTAGATCAGGCCACCTCAAATAGTCCCACCTGTGAGCACAGGAGGCCTTTGGAGAGACATCTAGACCCAGCTGTTACATAAAGAAATGTAGCCGGAGACATAGCTCAGTAGCATAAGCGCCTGCCTGGCAAGCACAAGGTCCTGAGTTCAATTTCTGGTACAAAAAAAAGAAAAGAAAAAAATGCAAATTAAAACACTCCTGGCGTTACTTTCATTGTCCATCAAGTTGCATTTTAATATGTTCCTGGTAGTTATCAATTATAACAACCTTTTCTAAAGCATTTTGGTAATAACTACTCAATATCTATAAGATGTCTACCAATTGATCAAGGAATTGGAGCTTCAGAAATTTATTCTGAGAAGAGAATTAAGAATATGATCCATAAATATGTTTAATGTTACATTGTAATAACAGTGAATAATCAGAAGCAATTTTTGAATCCATTAGTAGTAGACTATTACATAAATTGCAGTTTTCCATTCTGAGGGAGCTTGATAAGTTATTAGAAGTGGTCCTTTAGGGCAGGAGTTGGTAAACCGTAGCCCATGAACCTGCACTCGATTTGAGAATAGACTTTATGGAGACCCAAGCAAGTTTGTTTGTGCGCTGTTCTGCTGTTGTGTTGTTTTGTTGCGGTTCTTTGAGGCAGGGTGTCACCAGGTAGTTCAGGCTGGCCTTGCCCCACTGTGCAGCCCAGCCTGGGCTCGATCTCAAAGCAAGCCTCCTGCCTCTTCCTCCTGGGGTAGCAGGCATGCACACCACGCCCGGCCGGCCCATTTGTGCGCAGTATGGGGGCAGCGAATCCCTTCTCTAGGGAGGCTGCAGTGGTCCACCACAACCTGATCAGTGCACACAGCAGCAGCCACGTGTCCATCCCAGCTGTGGGCCCTGAAATCCAGGCTCACGGTGTGTGGAGGGCCAGAGGGAAGCCTGTCCTGGGCCTCTCTCCTGGGCTCATAGAAGGCCATTTTCTCGTGTGTCTGTTCACGGCCCAAGTGCCCCTCTTTCTGCAGTCAAACGCTTTGCCCCTGAGCTACACCCCCTCCTCCAAGTACCCCTTTGCTGAGGACAATAGCAATCCTATTGGGTGAAGCACCCAGCCCACCCCAGGTTCACATTCTTAAGAGCGAGAAGTGAGGC